TAAAGTGAGTCTTCCACACCCAAAACTATGGTGATCCAATTTAGTTTGGTGTTTTTTACTCAAATGAACACAATCATTTAACTGTCACAATCTACCCCTTATCAACTTGAAAACCAGACACATTTCTTTAAACCATATTCTTCAGATACAAAGATAAATTCATAATGACACCTAACATGTTACAACTATCCTGCATAAAACGGAAACACATGAATTCACTCCCCAGAATGGAAGTCAAGGTTTCTTTGGATAATGCTTACTCCTAACATTTCATAACTTCAATATTATAATATAGGTTTAACAATACTTAAGAACTGTATTAACTATCAACATATTATATAAGAAGCATATTAAGATTACATTATATTATTACATTCCCCATTTCTGTAGCTGGTATTTAAAACTACCTTCTACCACCCAAATAGTCTTTTTTTTTTTTTTTTTTTTTTTTGATACCAGGGATCTAACTCAGGACTTTGCCCTTGTGAGGCAGGCAGCGGCACCACTGAGCTAAATCCCTGGCCCTTGTCTTTTGAAGAACTTTGCCCCAGCCCTGTAAGCTATCACCACCTAGCTGGCACTTACCTGTTTATTTTGAGGCAGGCATGATGCCACTGAGCTAAAACCTGGGCCCCTTTAACTGTTTCTTAAAAAGACCATTTCACTTTTATATCAATCTAGGTGCTTCTGGATAGTGGAGAATGTAGTAAGACCCGTGAATTCTTTGGGCAAGAACCTATTGCCTCACTTCTTTAGCCATACAATGTGTTTCTTGGTCAGCAGTAATGGTGTATAGAATTCATGACAGTGGTAAAGCATTCTGTGAGTACATGGATGGTAGTTTTGATAGAAGCATTATATGCAGGGTAGGCAAGTAAGTGTCTATGACAAAGTAAAGCACAGTCAGTCCTTTTCATGATGGAAGTGGTCCAATATAATCAAGCAGCCGTCAGGTCACAGGTGATCAGTCCTCCAGGGAATGGTTCATAATAGGGAACTCAGTGCTGGTCTCTGCTGCTGTTATATTGGGCTTCTTTGAGCTCTTCATTGTAATTCACTATTTTGTCCTCTGTATCAGATAATGTGTGTTCACATTGGCATTTCAGATTGGCACTTGTGTTTGCACACAGTGAAAAGATCAGTCTGTCTTTCATGGACTTGTGCCTCAGCAGTGCCTTTTTTCTGCGTGATGTAGGCTCTATTCAACATCTTCCAGAAGAGCCCTGTTTCATTGTAGTTGAACACTTGTTGAGTGCCATACCCTTCTGCCTTCATGAATTATGCAGATTCTTTCTGGTAGGCTTCTCCAGCAGCCTTGTCAGAACTAGATGCCTCACGTGGATGCTACCTCTCTTAAGGACCTTATCAAACCATGCTGTCTTGTAAATTCATCACTTGTTGCCCTTGTAGAGGGGTTTTCTTGTGGTACATTACTATTCAGTTTCCTGGCTTTTTCACAGATCGTAGCTTCTATTACACTGTCACTTGCCAGTTGTTTCTCATTCAGCCACACTAACAGAAGTTTTCCCTTCTTTTCCAGACTTGTGTCCTCTGCTTGATTAACATTGTTATTCTTTTTTCCACATCAGCTCCTTTGATAGCATCTTAATTCTTCACAACAGTCAAGTTTGTTGCCTGCCATCTTGTATTCTGAGGCCAGATCAGTCATACAAATACCATGCTCATGCTTTTCTGCAATTTCCTTCTTCAGTTCAGTACTTATTTCCTTCAAAACCTTCTTGCCGTTCTTGCTGTGCACTTCCTTGTTATACAAAATTAACAGTATAAACACAGCAAACCATAAAAGAATGTAACGTAACCACCCTTTACTAAAGAAATCAGAAAACATATAAAAATTAAAACCTGTAATATGTTCAGTGGGAACTTGGATGAAATATTCCAATTAGATATGTCATATGTCATATTCTCAAGTAATTTCTTTGCCAGAGTTTGAGTATTCTCGCCGCAGTACCTCCTCTGATCCCTCTACCTCAATACCAAAGTTGACTCAGTCTCACAGCTTCTTTCTGCCAGGTTGCAGGCATTTGCAGTATTATCCAGTACAAATTCTTGGGTTAGGAACTCTTGCTGTCCCTCTCCCTGGGTATGATGGTGGATTCGGCACATAAGTTCACTGGGACAAAATTGTACACTGAGTCAGGATTATTCATATGTAATCAAATTAGCTACAGCTGTAATAGGTTAATCTGTTACGGTGGCATCTATCAGGGCTCTTTGAGAAATAATATACCATGACCCTGTTTTGGGTCTCCCATTAGCTTAGAGAAGAAATCCACAATTATAGTGTAACCATCTTAACAACCCAAGTCTTGATTCATATAGTTAATGTGCAGTAAGTGTGATGGCTGTGTCTCCTCTAATGGTGAAAAATAGACTTCAATTACTTTTGTATAAAGGGTTATATAAAGCTCAGGTTGGGGACTTGATAATGCAAGAGGGAGAAAGAAAAGAGAAAAAAAAATTTTTTTAAGTCCTCTGCTCTGTAATGTGGGAAGGAGGAAATGCGGAGGGGCAAAGGATCCTAATGATGGTAAGAGTATGTTATATTTTATATGTTTTATGTTTATATGTTTACAAGGTAATAAAACTGGATACAGAATTATTAGTGAGAAATGGGGATCTAAAACGATTGTATGACTAATATAAATATTAGTTTTATATATATGAGCTTTATATATATATGATATATATGAGCCAGTGTGAACTATATAGCAAGACTCTGTCTCCAAAAAACAAAGAAACTAGTAAAATGAGTTGAAAAGATTCTATTAAAGTCAAGCTGTAATCCCAGTTCTCTGGAGGCTGAGGCAGGAAGAGTGCTGCAATTTTGAGGCCAGCCTGGGCTACATGGTGAGCTCAAAGCCAGGCTGTACTACAAAACAAAACCTTGTTAGCTCTTCACGGAACTGTGGCATGAAACTGGTGGGTGAGCAAGCCCGTTTCCTGAACAAAGCGGAACAAAGGCAATCAAGTAGTGACAGTTTTGCAGTGTGGTATATCTTGGTGGAGAAAGCAGGATCTCACATAAGTGAGGGTTCATAAAACTTCACTTACATTACAGTTAACAATCATGGGGATGGGGGAGTCTGAGGTGGAACTACTTAAGATTGGGGAAACTTGTTTTTCCTTTTTTTTTTAAAGTTCTGCTTCAGCCCCACAAAGTCTGGAGATGAAGTTGTGAACCAAAGGAAGAGATTAGAAGAGTTTTAATTGGAGGGCTGGGGATTTAGCTCAATGGTTCCGGTACCTGCCTCGCAAGTGCAAGGACCCCAGTTCAATCCCCAGTACCAAAAAAAAAGAGTTTTAATTGAAAATAATAGAAGAGTATCTCCTGGATTTCTAGGAGCAGTCTCAAGTAGGTGGCCTCCGAGCTAATTACAGATAAACAGAGCACTGGAATTTCTTACATGTTTAGAAGCTACCTATCACAGGTAGATTTAAGGTGACCAATTGGAACTTAGGATCTCTAACCCAGTTCCTCAGCCTGTAGGCTTTAAAGGAAACTGGGATTTCAGAGAAAAAGTTTATTTTGCATTTTTAAATTCCTTAGGAGCTTTACAGGGAGAGCTACAACTCCCTTTGGTAGGAGGGGGCTGCATCCCATGTTGCCTTCATCCAGAGTCCTCACTGATTGTGATGCTTGTCATTGTGGCTGGTCATCCACGTCTATCTCAAGTCCTTCACCTAGTTAGCTGCCTTACTCATAAGCTAACTAAACAAACTATTCTTTACTTTAAATGTCTACTATGCCTACGACTGAATTATATTTCTTTTTGACAGCACAGTAGACCCTTGACTTACAAACTCGATCGGTTCCCAAGGTGGAATTGGTTGTAAGCCAGTGCAGCTGAGATCTGGATGTTTACCTGGGTACATGCTATAGATAACAAGAGGCAGATGAATCTTCGATTAACCTAATTAACCCAAGTTGTTGGTATGTCAGGCTGGTTTTAACTGGAGGGCCACCATACTGACCTAACTCTTAACTTTCCTTAAAGATCCAGATAAGGTTTTTTGGTTTGTTTTGTTTTTTTGAGACAGAGTCTTGCTATGCAGTTCAAACTGGCCTTGAACTCACTATGTAACCCAGGCTAGCCTTGAATTCATGGCAGTTCTCCTGCCACAGCCTTGAGTGCTGGGATTACAGGCATGCGTCACCCCAGTCAACTCAGATAAGGTTTTTATCTGCTAATACACATTAAAAGTTAGCATACGAGGCTTCTTGGACAGTCACTGCTCATCCCCTGTCACAAGCCAAGCCCCATTTAGAGCCCAGGCCTGCTCAGAGCCAAGGTTATTCTCCATGGTGCCTGTCATACCATGGGCAGAAGGTATTCATACACCCATGTATGTGCCTGAAAAAATAAGTTAGCTAATATAAAAAAATGATAGGGGCTAGGCGTGGTGGTGCTCGCCTGTAATCCCAGCACTCAGGAGGCCGAGGCAGGAGGATCGCTGTGAGTTCGAAACCAGCCTGGGTTACATAGTGAGTTCCAGATCAGTCTCAACTACATAGTGAGACCCTGTCTCAAACCCCTCCCAAAAAGAAATAAATAAATGATAGGATTTTTACCTAGTGTGATATTTTTACATAACTTGGTCAGCAGTAGGAGAGGTTGACAGGAAGGGAGGAGAGAGTACTCTTCTGCTGGAACCTGACCTTGTGCTGCACTTCCCCAGGTCCTCCCAGTCAACCCAGGCTACACGCACAGTTGCAAACTGGGTTGTGAGTTTACTGCCATCTGGTGTTGGCCTTGGGAAGCTGTAATTCAGAATAAAGTGCTTTTATACTTAACCACTGAAAAAGTCGTGCATTCTAAATTATATTTTTTACTGGTGCAGTTTCATTTTGTTCACTGACTTCAGCAGATAAGACAACCAAGATTGCAAAATAAAGGGTAACTTGTAGTTAGTTAGATCTGTTGCCTGGCCTGTTTGTATATATGGGATAGAGAATATAATCAATCCCCCCCCCACAGGGACACGAGAGATGACTTTGGAAGCGAAAGTTTCTACTCTTTCCATTGTATAAGAGACCGGTCTCCTCATAAAAGGGATGCTCCTTTTTTCCAAGAATCGTCAGTAGGCCAAAAGGACTCTCCACACAGCAGATCTGGCTCCAGTGTCAGTAGTCGAAGCTACTCTCCAGACCGAAGCAAAACGTACTCTTTCCATGAATCTCAACAGAGAAGTATGTATTTGAAAGACTTTTCCTTTTTCTTTCACAGCCTCAACTGAAGGGAGTGTATTGAGTCAGACTGCCTAATAGGTGTTGCCATAGGTACTCTTTTTCCACAGTACTTAACTCTGTGTGTGTGTGTGTGTGTGTGTGTGTGTGTGTGTGTGTGTGTTTTGATAGTCTTGCTGAGTAGTTCAGTCTTCTCTTACACTCACTATATAGCCCAGGCTGGCCTCAAATGCATGGTGATAATCCTGCCTCAGCCTCCCAAGTACTGGGATTATAGGTATGCACTACCATGCCCAGATCTTAATTTTTTTAGCTTGAAAATTTCAAACCACACTGTGGTTAAATTATTGAAGTTGGACTCTGCATGATATTTCATATTCACATTTGTCAGCGTATAAAGGATGTTTGCAATCCTGTCTGAAAGTTAAAACATACCCATGCTTCCTGGTAACGCTTGTGTCAGGCCTGCCTCTTCAGACTTCTGTCCTTAGATAATACCTTCATGTATCTGATAGTCTGATTTACATTAAAAGACCAAGGGGGCCGGGGATTTAGCACAGTGGTTCTGCCACCTACCTCAAAAGCACAAGGTCCTGAGTTCGATCCCAGGCACCAAAAAGTAAATAAATAAAAGACCAAGGATCTTTTAAATATCTGCTGTAGCCAGGTGTGGGGGTGCATGCCTGTAATCCCAGCACTCAGGAGGCTGAGGCTGGAGGATCGCTGTGAGTTCAAGACCAGCCTGGGCTACATAGTGAGTTCCAGGTCAGTCTCAACTACATAGTGAGACCCTGTATCAAAAAACCAAAAAAATCTCCTGTAGCTTTGTAGAATTTAGAGCTACAGCGTACCTTGAGTTCATTCTTTTCCGACCTCTTATTTGTGGCAGGGAGGGTGATGTGTGTGTTCATGATATCTGTGTGATCATATCCATGGTCCTGGCTGATTTGCTTAGTGTATTGAAATAGAAACAAAGGGGAACCCTTTTCTAGTTAAAGCATTCTTACAGTTTTCTGTAGACCTCACAGCCTGCAGTGAGCTCATCTCATTCTCAAAACATTTCCTTATCCTATGTGCAAGGCACTGTGTTAGATTCAAGAATGCCCCTGTCACTGAGGAAGTAGTTTGTGTGTGTGTGTGTGTGTGTGTGTGTGTGTTTCCGTGTTTCCACCAGCAAATGACAGCTTTATCAGTATGTTAATGTATATAAAATGGGACTTTAATACAAATGTGCCAAGCCGGGTGTGATGGCACACGCCTGTAATTCCAGCACTCGGGAGGCAGAGGCAGGAGGATCGCAGTGAGTTCGAGACCAGCCTGGGCTACATAGTGAGTTCCAGGGCAGTCTCAACTACATAGTGAGACCCTGTATCAAAAAACAAACAAACAACAACAAAACAAACAAGCAAAAAACCCCAAAAATGATGTGCCAGAATGAAATCACGTTCCACCAAGATGCTCTTAAGGGGAGAGATTGGATCTCACTCTGGAGACAGGAGAACATGCCATGCAGGACGCACCTTTTGTTTAGATTTCTACAGTGCAGAAGTGCATTCTAAGCAGAAAGGCTTGTAAGCCAAGGTGCAGAAATCAGAAAGTCCAGGGCTTTTTCCCTTCCCTTTAAACTTCCTTCCCGTTTACCGTGTAAGAGTTTTAACCCGACAGCCTTTGCCTCGTGCATGATGAGGGTGGAGTCCACTTGTCCTCGCTGACTTCCCTTGTAGCTGTTGCCGACTCTAGTGCTCAGCACATCTTGATAGGTTATGAAACACGTGTCTGAGTGATCATGCTGGAGGTAAGGCTTTCATTGGAAAGATTGCAAACAAACATAGCAACATACATATACCTGAAAATGTGCTTCAGGTACTTCTGGGAAAGTGAAGTTGTACTGTCTGTGCAGTTTAGTGTTAACAAATCAACAGTTGTGTCTTTGGGAGTTGCTTCTCTTGTTTCTTGATAATAGCATATTTTTAAAGGAAGACTATTAATCGGCATCAATTTTTTTTTTTTTTTTTTGTACTGGGGATCAAACTTGGGCCCTTGCGCTTGAGAGGCAGGCAGTGGAACCACTGAGCCAAAGCGCCAGCCCTTGCATCAATTATTTTTAAAAATAAATATTCTAAGATAACTGAGCCGGGTGTGGTGTTGTATATCTAACATCCAGGCCTGTGGGAGGCTGAGGCAGGAGGATCCTTTTGAGTTCAAGGTCAGTCTGGGCTATACAATTGAGTTCCAGGCCAGTCTACGCTATGTCACCAGGCCTGGTTCCCTCCTTTAAGTAACTTTTTTTTCTTTTTTTTTTGTACTGAGGATCAAACTCCAGTCCTTGCACTCCCCGTTAAGTAACCTTTAAAGATAAAGGTTGGTGACTTTATCTTAATTATTTATTTTAGGCAGTTTGACAGATATTTGGGATTCATTCATGGTGAGCACTGGACTAGTGCCCCAACTAATTTTTTAATTTTATGTTTTCAGTTGTATAAACATTCTAAGAGTATGTGCTAAATTTCCTATATACTGCTCTCCTTGACATATCCCTTAGTTAATTAGTTCTGTTTGTAGATACATATGACACAATACCAAATATTGACCCATGTGCTTATACTGTGAGATATTGAAATTGGCATTTAGAAACAGGGATGGGGTACATTCATTTTCAAACATAGGCTTGCCTTTCCCAGTGTGTTCTGAGGCTTCATCTTTGTTAGCTGACCTTGGTGTGACCTAGGGCCACTGTACATGACATCATTTGATTCTGGTTTCCAATATTTTATGTCAGTGTCTAAGAGGTAGTTTAGATATTAATTAATTTAATAATGTAATACAAAGTTTCAGTACTAACGAGAGTCTTTGAGTACTCATTAATTCAGTCATTTAGTCACTTAATTGAGAACAGATGAGCTGGGCATGGTGGCACCCATGTGTAATCCCAGCACTTAGGAGGCTGAGGCAGAAGGGTCACTCTGGGTTACATAACGATTTCAAGACCAGCTTCAAAAGAAAGAAAAAGGGAAAAATAAGCTAGGAAATTATGTCTTCTCTTTGTTTATATAGATGAGGAGAGACTAGTCCAGCCTTTGAAACCATCAAGAGACACTTCACCGTCAAGTTCTTCAGCAGGTCCTTCATCAAAGGTTTGTTAATTTTCTAAAATCAGTTTAAAGAATCGCAAAGTAAGATGGACTGTCTAGGACAAATGCTTTTGTTGTGTATTCGGTTCTGTCATTACAGAGCCTGCTTCTCAGTGTCTGCAGTTAAATGTTAACCAGGTTGTGGGTTGCTCGCCTTTCTCCTGTGGTTAGATTCCAGGTTCCTCTCATTTTGAACAAAGACTTGGATGATGTAAGCCAAAAGTGGTGCCAAAAGTTTATGTGCAAAGTGAAGGGTGAAGAAGTATGGGAGAAAACATATCTACCGTGCAAACTTGGGCAGAACAAGAGAAAAAGAACATAAAAACAAAAATAAAAGCACATGCTGCACCTGGAAAACATAGCATGGGCTACCATGAAAAGTCATGATAGCAGAAAGTCCTAGTGTCTGTGTCCAAATCAGGAGGAAACCCATGAGAACTTCTACATGTGGATCCTGAGAGGCGGTGCTAGGATCCCTGGCCTAGGACTAATGTCAAGTCTAGGCCATCCTATTGAAATCCTGCTTGATTTCTCCCAAGAAGTCCACATGTAGGGCTTTGGGAACTGTTTTGTATGTGTGTGCTCCAGTATCTTATAAATAACAGGTCACACCTACTTTACCAGCCAGCTTTGCCTCACCCTAATCTCCTATCAATACCCATGGGCCAACTGCTACATAAAAGCTTGAATTCTTATGTAACTGCAATTTAAAAATAGCCAAGCAAGTGTGCTGTTTTCTCATAGAAGCATTTTGTATAAGTCACTCTATAAAAGTATTAGCACTGCAGCTCATTTTACTCATCTTGACCATAGCCAGTAAATACTCAGATGGGAGCATGTTTTAGATTTTCATTTGTTAGTTGTGGGCATTTGCAAGGCACCTAAAATTTGACTATCTGCTTCTGGATAATATGTGATTTTTCTCTTATTCATAAATAAATGGTAGGTATAAGTTTCCATTCTACACCAAAGTGAAGTTTCAGAAGTTAATTGATTTTTCTCAAATGGATAGCTACTCTTCTCGTTTTCATTCCTAACTTCTCAGCATCTCAAAACATGTTGCAAAGATGGACCTCTTGTTTCTAATCCTCAGTAGTTTCAAATTTGAGAAATTGGTGCTTTCATGTGTTCTGCTTGGTTACACCTTTTTCTTGTCCACAGCTTTTACTTAAATTCTCATTCACTTCTTTTTGTTCCTTCCTCTCTCCCACTGTGAGGATTGAACCCAGGGGCACTCTGCCACACCCCTTTTTGTATTTTGAGACGGTATCTTCCTCAATTGGCAAAGCTGCCTTTGAAGTAGGACTCCTGCTATCTCAGCCTCTTATGCAGCTGGGATGACAGGTGTGCACCACTGTGTGCAGCATTTTCTTTTTTCCATTGTAGTTTTGACTTTTTACCCAGCACTGATATCACCTGAATATTCAGGATACTCAGGGCAGCTGGTTCTTTGCTTCAAAGGGGGAAAAATTTCTTTGTGACAACTTAATCTCTCTCTCTCTCTCTCCCTCTCTCTCTCTCTCTCTCTCTCATCATTGGAACATACTTAGATATCTAAGGGATGTAGAATCCCAGGTTGTTTTTGTTTTTGTTTTGAGACTGGGTCTATGTGTAATCCAAGCTCGCCGGGAACTCTTTTTTTTTAAACTAGGGAAGGAGTCCAGGAGTGAGTGCTCCACCACCGAGTTCATTCCTGTCCCTTTCTGTTTGTTGAGATAAAGTGTTGCTAAGTTGCCAAGGCTGGCCTTAAGTTTACAGTCTTCTTGCCTCAGCTTCCCAGGTAGCTGAGATTACAGGCATGTACCATCACACCTGGCCTTTTTTAACATTCATTATGGGCAGGGGCTGGGAATGAACTACGTAGGCCCCCTCAGTGGCTGTGGAATAAAGGAAGTTTGCAATTTTCTGTTTTCCTTCCAAAGGTTTGACAATTTTAGTACGTGACATCAAGGAGAAGACTAGGTGGCTGAAGTTTATATAGCACCTCCAAGTACACAGAAGAGTAGGGCTTGGGACTCCTGAAGGGGTGCGGTAGCCTCCCAAGCCAGGGGAGGTTCAGGAGGGCAACTCGGGTGGAAACCTTCCTGATTATGCACACAGCCAGCTGTGGCCTCTCTGCCTGAACCAGTTCTCAGGCCCCCAGCCTCTTCCCCTGTGAAGATCCTGTCCTAGGCAGGTGTGGAGATCTCGGAGGGAAGCTGCTGTCTATACTCTGCTTACTCTCTCATGTAGATACGTGTATACATTTCTGTTCTGTAGGAGGATGGCTTTTCAGAGCCATTCGTCTGTCTGCAGTTCCTCTGAATAACCAAGTCAGAATATGGCAAGAAGCGTGTTTGGGGTGAGGTATTTTGCCCTCCCACACCTCTGTGTAGATCTTCGCTGTGACTGTACTGGTGACCAATGTGAGGACGTTCAAGTGCCCTTTCCATCAGTATTCACTGATGACTTTGGCCAGGGAACGAGCGTTTCAGTCTCTGAGGTTATACTTGGAGGTAATAAGATGTACCGTCATCATCTCCATGAGCTTCTGTTCAATTAAAATTCTTTTCTTGTTTGTGTAGAGAAGCACTTTATTAGTGAAATGCACCAGAGGATGGAGATTTTTACTAGACTGTCTTCCAGAGGACGGGGGTATACTTGGAGTCAGTGATACGATTTGAGAAGCAAGATAGGCGAAAATTAGGTGTGGTAGGAACAGGTGAGGAAGATTATTCTAGAGAAACAATGGAATTAGCAAACTACCATCAAGGATTTAATAATAGAGTTTGTTTTCTTTTCTTCTTCTTGTTGCCTTGTTGTTGTTGTTTTTGTTTCTGAGACAGGCTTTCACTATGTAGTATAGACTGGCCTTGAACTCACTAAGTAGCCTAGGCTGGTGTCAGACTCACAGCGATCCTCCTACCTCAGTCTCCCAAGAGCTGGGATTATAGGAGTGTACACCATACCCAGTTTAGGAATAGAGGTTTTCTAATTCATGCTTTATGGCTAGGCGTGATGGCACACTCCTAGAATCACAGCACTTGGTAACCTGTTGCAGAAGAATCACTGCAAGTTTGAGGCCAATTTAGGTTATTTTGTGTAGCAAGACCCTGTGTCAAAAAACTAAAATGTCTGGGGATTTAGCTCAGTAGCGTTGCTCCTACCTGGCACATGCAAGGTCCTAAGTTTGATCCCCAGTACCAGAAAAAACCTGCTTTCTAAAGTGAATGTTATGAATCCTTTTTTGTTTTGTTTTTTTGTACCGGAGATCAAACTCAGAAACTTGCACTTGTGAGGCAGGTGGCCAAACCACTGAGCTAAATCCCCAGCCCAAGAATCCTGTTTTATAAATGAGAATGCTAAGACTGAAACATTGTTGGATATATAGATCTATCTATCTGTCTATCTATGACCAATTTTCTAGCAAATAGGTAAGCTTCACATAAACTTAGATTTGTCTGTAACTCCAAAGCCCTCACTTTGTTTGCATTGTATTAAAGAAAAGAAATAGGGCTAGGCTTAAACAATGAAACTTAAATTTTAAAATTCTCTGAAAGCAGTAGGATTTATATAATTTATAAAAATAGCATATCTAGAATTTTCTGTTGTGTTAGAATGGCCCGTAATGAAATTTTGGCATTATTTATTTCACTGAACATAATTAAAGACAGCAAGTCAAAAGTCACGCTTCTTTTGTGTTCTGTGTATATACTAGGCGAAAATTAGGTGTGGTAGGAACAGGTGAGGAAGATTATTCTAGAGAAACAATGGAATTAGTGATTTAATATAAGGGTCTTAAGAAAAGAGTTTTCCTAATTCATACTTTAGTATTTTAATCTATAGCTTAAGCCTTTAAATGACATTAGGGAAATTATATGTGATCTAAAAATAAATTTTATTTTCTTTGAGTTTATATTTCCCCCATGAACTGATTAATTTTCTTCATGTTTTTTTACTATAATAGATTAATATGATGGAATATAGAAAAAAGTGTCACACATAACCTTAGATATTTTCAAATCTGTTGCCTCTCTGAATTCTCAAAACTACTTTCTAAAGTGAACATTATGAATCCTGATTTGTAAATGAGAATGCCAAGACTGAAAGTATTTTTTATAAAGCCATCTTTCCAGCAAATAGGTAAATTTTACTTGAACTAAGTAAGGTTCATCCTTAACTTCAAACTGCATATTTTGTATTATATTAGGTTAGAGAAAAGAAATGGGTAGGGTGAAATAATGAAACTTAAATTTAAAAATTCTCTGAAAGCAGTAGGATTTATATAATTTATAAAAATAGCATATCTAGAATTTTCTATTGTGTTAGAATGACCCCTAATGAAATTTTGGCGTTATTTATTTCACTGACCATAATTAAAGACAGCAAGTCGAAAGTCATGCATCTTTTGTGTTCTGTGTATATAAAGTTAGTTTTTTGAGCTGTCAGTCTCTGCTTTGTGCCATAGATGAATCCCTGAAGTTTTGTGTAAATGAAATTGGGTCATGTCTAGTATACGTGTCCCAAGGGAATTGCTGTTTAGCTTAAACAAATGTTCTTCTGAGTGTTTTTGAAGAAGAGGAGAAAAAGAGTGCCAATTCATGTCATCAATTTGAAGGACTTTTATGATTTGACATATAAGTAAGGTGTGCTTCTTGATGAATCTGAAGTGTAAACACCCTTGGTAAATGTGACAAACGTGCTCTGATCTTTATTAGGTGTTAGATAAACCCAGCAGGCTAACTGAAAAGGAATTTGCTGAGGCTACAAGCAGGTGGGCTGCTGAAAAGCTGCAGAAGTCAGAAGAGAACAGCTCGCCTGGGTTTTCTGAGTTCCAGGTACGGTATCATTTCTCCATTATATTTGACACCTGCAGGTTTTGTGTGGATATTAACTTACAGGTGGAACACATTTGCTTTGTTTTAGTACCTCAGAATACATTTAAAGGAAAACATGCTTGTGAATTATTAAAATTTACTACACAGAGTCATAGTCTTGATTTGTAGGTTCATATAAAATTGTTTATGAAATGTTTGTATTAAAATCTTTTAAAATCTCAGTATTTGAGAGACTGAGTCAGGAGAATTGCCACAAGTTCAAGGCCACCCTGGGCTACATAGTGAGTTCAGGGCCAGCCTGAAGTACATAGTGAGACTCTGTCTCAAAAAAACAAAAACAAATAAAATTTTGAAAATGAATCAGGGTGGGGGATTTAGCTCAGTGGTTCTGGCACCTGCCTTGCAAGCACAAGAACAGGGGTTCAATCCCCAGTACCAAAAAAAAAAAAGGAAAATGAATCAAAACATATCTGTATAACCTCTGTACTTTGACATTTATGTTGGAGAATTCTGGCTTTTTTGTACTTTGGTATAATTCCTTTGGAAATTTTTAAAAGGGATTAAATGTTAGAATTCTGTATAACAGTAACATGCTTACCTATATCTTCATATGTGAAAGTAACTATGTAATTTCCAAAGTAACTATAATTACACTGCTGTCTTAGTTGCTGTTCTCTTGCTGAGATAAAATACCCAACACTTGAGAGTTAAAGGAGAAAAGGTTTATTTTAGCTTACAATTTGTGGAGATTTCAGTCCATAGTCATCTAGCTCCCAGGCATCCCATGGAGAAACATTTCATGGCAGTGTTTAGCAAAGAACTAGCAGCAGCAGCAGCCTCCACCTGCCTGCCCTCTCTCCCTTTATGTCCTGTCCAGACTGTAAGCCTATTGATTATGCCACCCACACCCTGGGTGGGCTTCCATTATGTATCCCCTTAGTCCCTGTGTCACACCCTAACCCAGCCACCTTAGAAACTCTCCACCTGTGACTGCATGAGGCCTTGAGGGACAGGGACATCTAGACACAACCATAACAACTGCTCATAAAGCCCAAACCCTTATCAAAATTTATACAAATAGAGCCTTAAAAAAAATTGACCTGGGCCCTGGGGTTTAGCTCAGTGGTGCTGGCATCTGTCTGACTGGCAAGCTCAAGGACCAAAAAAAAAAAAAAATTGACCTGTCATTTAAATTTAGATAACAATTATTCTTTGGTTTTGTGTGTTGTTTTTGTTTTTGGTACTAGGGATTGAACTCAGGACCTTCCACTTGCAAGGCAGGAGCAATATGCTGAGCTAAATCTCCAGCCCCTCCTCCTAGCACTGTTTACAAGCATAAACAATGAAGTAATACAACTAATGGGATAAGTTTAGATAAAAGTTTTGCTATTTAAATAATTTAGAGTTTAAAAAGTCAATAATTTTGAATACTCTTTTTTTGGGGGGGGGGTTTATGGCAGTGGTAGGATTGAACCCAGGGCCTTGAATGTACTAGGCAAGTGCTCTACCACTGAGCTATATTCCCAGCTATAAAATAGTGGGTTTCTTTATATTAATAGTAGATATCTGTGATTCAAAATTGCTACTTTGGACAGAGAATAATTTATTTGTGTAATAATTTATTAATAAGCAAAATTGTATGTGTCGGTCTTATTTTTATATAGAAGCAAGGCCTTACTTAACAAATATTAATACTATATTCATCCTCTCCGTCTGCCCATCTCTTTGTTTTGTTTTGTTTGAAACACAGTCTTGCTGTCATTCAGATTGGCCTCGAACTCACTGTGTACTCCAGGCCTCTGCCGGTCCTCCTGCCTCAGCCTACCAAGTGCTCAGATTACAGGTCACCATGCCCAGCCTTCACATCATTTTTTTGTCTTAATTTTTATACAGTTTTACTATATACCTTTTTTGGATGCTAAAAGAATTAGTTTTGACATGATAGGTGGATCTTCCAGATTTTAAATATTTTTATTTTCACATTGCTTGAATGGACTTTGACACTGAATGGTCAGTGACATTGGGGTCTAGAAAGTCTTCTTCTTAAACTTCTTTGTTTTTTCTCTGTAAAATGTGCTAGATTTTGGATTAGTTCAAAATAACTCTAGAATTCTGGAATTGGTGTTATAAGTCAGGCATGGCCTTTTGCTTTTTTTCAAAGGGGAGAAAGGCTGGGTATTTAGCTCAGTGGTTCTGCCACCTGCCTCACAAGTACAAGGTCCTGAGTTCGATCCTCAGTACAAAAATGGGGTGGTGGTTGGGGAGGAATACTAAGTGATCATAGGACCTAGGTTATTGTATGTTTGTTACTTGGTGTATATCACTAATGTTGGATGGCAGTGTCAGTTTCATACCCCTGTCTACAGTTTTTCAAAGTCAGGTTGATACTTTTTTATATGGGATATAAACAGTAGAGAATTAATTAATTTTTGGCTTTATAAACAGAGTTCTAACATCTTACTAATATTTTCTCCAAATAATAGTAATATAAATTCATGGGCTGTTAAGTAGTTGTTTCAAGGATCCATACTTGTGACAAAATAGAATTTTGACCCTTCTCCTATGAATTCATTCCTCATTTAATAGAATAGCCTAGAATGAAAAAGACCTTGGCTTGATATTAAGAATTTGGTATTCCTTGGGTTTCTTTTTTATCTTCTGTTGCTGCCATCAGTATAATTTTAAGCAGTTTCCAGGGAGTCCCTGGAATTTTTGAAGTCCAGGAAAAGTGAAGATAAATTCAGTAATGTGCTTAAATAGGCTTATTATAGTTTATTCCTCTGTTCAGTTTTATACTTTGATCTTTTGGGCTTCAATAGAACATTTCTGAAAGGTTTTGACAGACTAGTAATTCTGTAGGGACTTAATGGTCTGAGGGCATCCAAGGATAATTTAGTATCCCAAAATGCTTCCTTCTGTGGGATCCAAGCTTCCTTGAGCGCTGTCAAGAGATCCAGGAGTAAAAGGGACAACAGTGCAGTTTGGGTTCCTTTAGGGAGGACATATCCTATGCTTCTTATCATAATCTTAATTTGCCCTGTGTAGTCTGAGTCAGTCAGACCATGAAAGACTTGGATGCCCTTACTGGAGTAACTAGTTTTCCTTAACAGGAAACCTGTCCAGCCAGGGATTTAGCTCAGTGGTTCCACCACCTGCCTTGCAAGCGCAAGGACCTGAGTTCTATCCCCAGTATCAAAAAACAAAACAAAATAGACCTATCTTCCCTGGGGGGTAAAAGTCCCCAGACATGGCTGGCTAGTATCTTTCCTTCATCAGCCTCATCTCCTCTACAAGGGCCAACTCAAGTCAAGAGGTTATGCTGATTTGGGGTCAGTCCCTGTGCTGGGTGGGGTGTGAACAGTCCGTGATTAACTCCCTGGGTTCATCAAGGTAGGGGAGTCTCACCTACCTCCCCTTCCCATATCCCGAAATTATTTCCTTCATTAGAGCAGCACTGACTAGCCCAGATCATGTCTTCTCTTACATTTGGGGTATTTTCATTTCGGCTTGCCTTCTTTGTGTATAGCTTTTGCAGTCCTTCTGAAGACTTCCCTCTTTGCCATAGTTGTAACACTTCCAAGGCTGCAAAGCCAATGGCAGTCAATTCTGTTTTGTGAATTTCATTTTTTACATTTGGCAAGCTTAAATCATTTCAGCAGTATTTAAATTGTTTCCCTTAAGGGATGCCAAGACTCTCTGACAATGAGTGTTGGTATTTTCATACACTAATTGAAGGGCTATAGTATCCAGTGCTTGGGGATTGTCTGTCTTCAAACTGCGTTTTGCAAATAAGTTTATGAAGTCTATGTTAGCCTCATTAGGGCCCCATTTAAGGATGGCAAAGGAGCCTTGAGGGGCCTTGGTTTCTGGGATTTGTGTCCTTGCCTTAAGGGTGGTACAAGAAGTTTGAATGAAAGTTTGGGCATTCATCTGGGATTGTGCCTCATGGGATTCCAACAGGAATTCCTCTCTTCAGATTATCTGGGATTGAGCAGTGGTCACTTCCCTATATTCGTTTTTGTTTTTCCTCTTTCTTTCTGGTACTGGGGATCAAACTCACGACCTTATGCTTGTGAGGTAGGTGCTGTGGTACTGAGCTAATCTCCGGCCCAACTTTCCAATATTCTTAAAATCATACACTGAATTGAGCAGCAGTAAGCACTGTTTTCATTAGGACAATCTAGTCCCATGGTTCACCTCATAACCTTGTCCTACTGACTCTATAATTCCTTCTGTAAATGGCCTCTGCAGACCACTGTGAGAAATTTTTTTTGTAAATTCTTTAAACACCACATAAGGGAGGCTATATCATACAGGATAAGCATGCATTTCTCCATCTTTCATGCTAGCCTCTTTTAAGCATTTCTCTATGGAGGCCTCAAATTCTGAGGCTAAAGGTTTTGCTGGAAGAGAAGGAGACAAGAAAAAGAGTTCGGCAGCTGAGAGTTGTTACTGTTCTGTTGGTTGGTTGGTTGGTTGGTTGGTTGGTTTTTTTGAGACAGGGTCTCCGTATGTAGTTTAGAATTGATTTAAACTCACTGTAGCCAGGCTGGCCTTGAACTTGTAGTGATCCTCCTGTCTCAGCCTCCAAAGTGCTAAGATTACTTGTGTTGTACCACCACACCCAGCCTGGAGCTAGCTTTATAAATGTAGCCTCCTTTGTTTGAATATCAATTAGCAACCCCATCACTCAACCTTCAGTAAGTAGGTCCTGGGAGCTGGTTGGGTGGCATCTAGAAAGGGAGAGATTTAAACAGGTCCACCTATTGCTGGAAGAGCAACTGCATGGTGACCACATTAGGCCCTCTTGTAGCGCCTGGAGCACTTAGGAAAAATGGAAGCTATTACATGATCTCCATCAGGTGAATGCCCACATAGTTTGTCTGGGAGCCCAACAACTGAAAATTCCTAATCTTGCTTTTATCCCTCAAACTTACCATCTTATAGTTGTGGATCTTCCCCTACCCCCCCATTTATCGTTGTGGGTCTTAAAGATTGATTTTTCACTGTCCCATTCCATGAGAAAAGATAGAAATTTGCCCTGCCATTACTTCCAATTGTTTTCCAGCATTCTCCCAACTCTGACATGGTAAGTGTGTCGCCATGGGACAAGCCATGATAGAATGGGCCAATGGGCTCCTCAAAATTCAATTATTAAAAAAAGTTTAATATGGTAGACAGACTTTTACCAAAGGGATAATTGTATAAAGCATTCTTTAAATTTTTAAAATTGTGACTCACATGGATTCAAAGCAGTGGAAAATAGTTTATTCCTCCACAGGAAGGACCGTGACCATTGGTTCTTTATTGACAACCTTTATGGGATCCACAGTGGTTGGGCCCCATGGAATTGCTCACTTGGGGTAGGGGTTATGCATCCGCTTTGTCACCCATAGGCCTTCTTTGGGTTCCTGCAAAGGCTGTGCATCCCTACCATGTGTAATGAGTCGGGAAGCAATCCTCTCCTGGAGCTTCAGAAGCTGGCAATACAGCTTCCCCCGGGAACAAGCAGGAAGAGGAAAAGGATGGGCCCCCTGCCCTCTACGACACATGCTTCAGGACCCACCTGGGGAGACATTAAGAAGCTTACTAATCAAGCTGAGCAAACTCTCCAAATCACGGGAACACCTTCCACTCCTGAAAACCTGTTTCTTGCAACGATAGCGCATATCACATCTAACTCCAAGGCTGCACAGGTAAAAAGGTCCCTTATTCTTTTGAGCTTGCCGGTACATTTAGCTCAAGTAAGTAAGTAAGTGGTCTACTGGGCCCATGTTCTTACCCCACCCATTTTTGACATGGTCACATGGAGAGATGTGGTGCAAACCCCTCCCCCTTGTAATGATACCTCTTACACAGGTGAAACTTGGCTGCCACCTCCTGGCCCCTTGTGGGACTGTGAGAGGGACTGCAGCCATTCTGGTTATTCTAATGGGTGGTACCTGTTACATCAGGAGAGGTACTTTTTGGCAGAAGAATTTTTCTTGCCTGTGGTCACCAACATCACTGATAGTAGCTGTCGCATTCCCTTCTGGCCCCTCTAGTGTAGGAACTGTGTTTTCAAAGGAGGTAATTGAATGGAGGGAGCCTGTCATCAACTTTTTTTTTTTTTTTTTTAAATAACAGTGTCAGAGTAGGAGGAACCCCTCGGTCTGGCAGACACCTTCCCTCCTGCTCTCACCTGAGGGTGCCCATCGGAGATGGCTCAGATTTGGGATGGACCTCAGGTCAAGCACCAACCTTAACATTACCTCCTCTCACAGATTGACTCTAGGAAATTGGGGACCTCGCAATTTAGTAGTGCTGAAGCCTAGCTCTCCCTGGAATTATACTTATCCTTTAATCATAGCAGCAGCTCAGCATGATGGAACCATGGACTCAGTGGACCTTCACTGCGCCTCTCCTTGGGCACTTATATTTGTCCTCTTTAAAAAATCTCTGGGTATTTAGCTATCCCCCTTTTCCCGCATATTGTGAGAATTAGCAACTCTCGGCCCATAAGTAAAGTCATCATGTGGGTTGCCGTGACACCTGAGCATATACTGATTGGAGTTCCTGCCCATACATTTTAGTCCTCACTAACTTACCTGTGCAGAATACAGTTCTAGCCACCGGCATCAGCCTCTGAAAGCCCTTGGTGTTACCCACCAGCGAATGCTACGTGGCTCGCTCTGTTTGTCACCAACCTGATGTTTCCCTATTAAATGTTACTCATATTGTGGTAGCCAGACATGATGCCAGAGCTTGGCTCCCCACTAGTCTCGCGAGAGAATGGACAGAATTTTCTGTCCTTGAGCAAGTCACCTCAGCCCTTGAACTTAGCAGACAAAAACATTTTCTGGCTATTCTGATTGCAGCTGCTATTGCAGCCACAGCATTAGCAGCCACAGTGGCAACTACAGCAGTCACTTTGACCCATTGCTTACAAACTGGCCTGACTATGGACAGCTATTTTGCCAGGCATGGTGTCACATGCCAAAAATCTCAGCACACTGGAGGCTAAGGCAGGAAGATCACCTGGAGTTCGAGGCCAGCCTAGGGTCCATAGTCTAAACTACATGGCAAGACCCTGTCTCAAAGGAAAAAAAAAAAGTTACCTCTGAGTTGCTGACACAGACCAGCATTGACAAAGAAATCTCACAACGTCCTGATGCTCTTGAGGCTGCTGTCATTTGACTCAGCACCAGCAGGCTGTCCAGACGAGCACTCAACTTAGTGTGATGCAGGATGTCACTCTGTGTGCATCACACTCATCCTGTGTAACAGCTCTGGTTCCTGGCATGAGGTCCAGTGTGTGCTCCAGGGTGCTTTTCACACGGATCTCACTGGGGAGATTTCCTGTCTCCAGGGCCGACTGAAGGCCAAGATTCACAAAATTTAAATGGAAGTTCACAACATTACTTTAGACCATCTTAATGCTGTTGTCTTCTGGCTCAACCCTAAAAACTGGCTCTCTGGCTTCAACTTCCATATCTGGATACTTACTGCTATAGGAATAATATTTCTGTTGTGTTTTCTTGCAGTCCTAAAAGCTTTCTGTGTGCTGTTCCAACGAATGCATTGTGCTGAGGCTATGATGACTTCCTGAAACACGCCCAATACCTGTCTATACTACATTTCTCTTCTCCTCAGTCCTTAGTGCTTAAAACAAAAGAAGGGGATACATGAGACAGTTGGCTGGAGGAGTAAATGATTAAAGTCATGAAGGAGCCTGCGGGGCAATAGCACGCGTGCTCTGCAGTGTATGTTTAACAATTAAGAAAGGAGCCATCCAGAAAGAATGGCTGCTGTCAATAAATCAACCAATAACAAATGCTGGCAGGACTGTGGGGAAAAAGGAACCCTTCTCTGTTGTTGGTGGGAATGCAGGATGGTGCAACCACCATGGAAATCAATATGGAGATACCTCAAAGAACTAGGATTATGGGCCAGGGATTTAGCTCTGTGGTTCTGTGACCTGCTTCGCAAGTGCAAGGACCTGAGTTCGATCCCCGGTACCCCCCCCAAAAAAAAAACTAGAGGTCCCATTTTTGACCCAGCTTTCCCTCTGCTGGGTATCTTTCCAAAAGAATTAAAAGAATCATACCACAGAATCATACCAATGTTTATAGCAGCATAGTCGTAATAGCTAAATCTTGGAAACAACCCAAATGACCCTCAACTGGAGACTGGATAAAGAAGATGTGATTTTTCTATAAAATGGAGTACTTACTACTCAGCCATAAGGAAGGAGAAACTCGAAACATTTATAACTAAATGGATGTACACTGAGGCCATACTCTTAAGTGAAATAAATAGGATACACTTGAGTAAATACCAAATAGTTTCTCTGGTGTGAAAAACTAAAAGTGTCAATAAGGTTCAAATAGTATAATTGAGAGGTTGAAATAGGAAGAGTATGGCTAAAAGAGAAGGAAGGGGAGGGGTAAAGAAATAATGTGAAAAAATAGAAACAAACTCTTTGTAAATAGGGGTGAGTGGAGCGGGTGAAGGGAGGGCAGGGGTATGGGGAAAAAACAACCAAGGTATATCATGTCAAGGTACAAGATCCCAATGATAAATGTATTGTTTTCTTTAAATGTACCAGTAAACTTAATGGGGGAAAAATAAAGGAGCCAGATGTAGTGGTGTATATCTGTAATCCCAGCACTGGGGAGGCTGAGGCAAAAGGATCACTGTGAGTTCCAGGCCAGCCTGGGCTATATAGTGAGTTCACGATCAGCCTGAACTATGTAGTGAGACCCTGTCTCACAAAAGAAAACAAAAACAAACAAAAAATTACAAGAGGAATTGCGGGGCAAAAGCACGAATGCTTTGGAATGTATGGTAGAAGATTTGGGAAGCATACTTGGTTTGACCTTTGTGCTTTTCCCTTCCCAATAAATTGCTTAGCTTAACAAAAAAATGTTTTGTAGCACGCCTCGTGCCTTGACACCAAACTGTTTATCTTTCTGTGTTTCCTGCAATAAAAGCCAGAGAGTTCTCGGTTCAGCACAGCTCCCTTGAAACTCCCTCTTGCTGGGTGTTCTCGGGAAAGTCGCTCTGGGCCTCTCAGTGTTTGGACCAAGTCTTGTCTCTGAGTAATCTTTTCATTCTCCACTCCATGAATTTGACTGTACCATATTCCTGTTATAAATAGAACCACACAGTATTTTCCTTATTTCACTTAACGTAAGAACTTTGAGGTCCAGTCATGTGCCTAGAATTTCTTTTTAAGGCTGAATAATATTCCAGTATGTGTATATTCTACTTTTCTTAGTTACTTCCACCTTTTGGCTATTATTACTAATGCTGCTAGGAACATGAATATATAAATATTGACTCCCTGCTTTCCAGTCTTTGAATTCTTTTAAGCATATACCCAAAGTGTGAAACTGCCAAGTTTTATCATAATTCTGTGTTTCATTCTTTGAGGAATTGCTGTACAAATAAACCTAAGTCTTAAAACAATGTTGTAGTTATTTAAGTTTCTTTTTTATATGTTGACATATATAATAGAAAAGAAAATAGATTTTTGATATTGTGAGACAGTGTTGTAGGGAGAGTCAAGAAGAACATAGAGGAGACACACTTCAGGGAAGAAATTACAACATCTGCATGTCATTACACTACTGCTAGAGATACATATGTTCAAAATATTCTTGCTCTCAATTCTAATGTCAGAGGTATATTTAGCATGTGGATTTTAAAAATGTTTTATTAGTATACAAAAAATACGACATTTCAAATTCCTTAACTCTGGAAACAGCTTTTACACCAGGTTTTTCAAAAATTTAACTATTTTAGCTGGGCATGGTGGTGCACACCTGTAATCCCAGCACTCAGGAGGCTGAGGCAGGAGGATCACTGTGAGTTCAAGAGCAGCTTGGACTATATAGTGAGTTCCAGGTCAATCTCAACTACATAGTGAGACCCTGTCTCAAAAAGCCAAAAAAAATTTTTTAACTTTTATATGCCATTATAATGGCCTCATCCAAGATTTATCATAGTACTCGTTTTGAAGTCTGTGAGGAAGGGTTGGGAATATAGCTCAGTGGTGCCACACCTGGCTGGCAAGCACAAGGTCCTGAGTTTGATGTCCTGTACCAAAAAAAGGCTTGTGAGGAAGGAGGGGGTAGATAAGGACATGTTCACAAATAGAATGTTTGGCCAGCATAGTCAGGACCCTGGATCAGTCCCCATCACCACACAGGCAAAATAATTATCAGTTGTGTGCTAAGTAAAAATGGAAGAAAATAATCTATGAGAAGCAAATAATAGAAAAAACTAAATATTTATTAAGCAGTTAATATTTGTTGGACATTCTGCTAAATGCTGTGAATTTGAAAATCAAGACCACGTGCTGAAAATGGTGTAGAAACAAAAAAAAAAAACCAAACAAGCAGTATCCTTCCCTGATGATCTCATAAAGCTGATAGACCAATCCTGACATGCTTATTCTAAGATTTTTTTATTCCATAAGATCCGTAGCTTTCTATGTATGTCATTAATCTCCTGTCGACTGAGATTCTGTTGCATACTATCTAGTACAAATCTAGCATGTATCTAGTTTCCTAGCTAAATGTTCCTGTCCCTACTCTTGCCTTCACTAGCTGCCTTCTTAAACTATTTTGACTACCACTCTCGGAGAAAAGGCTATCATCCTCTCACATCCCATGACACAAAGTCTATGGAGGAAGTGTCAGGCAAGAGAGATGCTTCTGTGCAAAGTGACTGAGGTTGGTCCTGTACCCCAGTGGTAGAGTTCTTGCCCAGCATACATGGGACCCTGAGTTTAAGAAAAAGAAAGATGACTATATCTAGCAAAATGCTGGAGTGTCAGAGATGAGATGTGGAATATTTATGAAAAGTATCAGTAGTCTAAAAAGTGCTTCAGCTTGGGAAGTCTACCAAAAGTGAAAGACTCTTCCTACACTCAAAGCAGGTCTGTGTGAGTGGATTGAGAGTCAACAGGAGAAGCAGTGACCACTGAGGTAAAAGAATCGTAGCACATGGTTAGATAAACACAGCCAAAGACCTTGAAGAAAACTTCATGACAGAGTTAGCTTGCAACTCCTGCAAGGCCTGGAATGTGATGACATCTTCCAACCGTATTAGTCAAGAGCTTTGTGTCCCTCTTCCTTTCCTCTCTCCTTATGCCCCAGTCCTCAAGGAAGCAGAAGAGAAAGCAATCACATCTGCTCCTTCAGTCATGGGTATTCCTGCCTGATGCAGGCTGTATCAGGAGGAAGGAAGGGAGTGGATTTCATTTTAAATCAATCTTAGTGATTCTTACTATTTAAAAAAATACTGGTCTGGGTGGGGATTTAGCTCAGTGGTTCCAGCGCCTCCCTTGCAAGCACAAGGACCTGAGTTCGATCCCCAGTGCCAAAAACAAAACAAAATAAAACTGATTTCCATATTCAAAATGTTTCAAGACAAAGTGAGTCTTTCTTTCAAGGAGAGACCTAGAGTTACTAGGCCTTGTGGATGTCTCAAGGGGGCAGCAAATCAAGTCTACTTCCCTTAGCAGGCATTTAGCTTAGTGGTGCTGCCACCAGCTTCATTTGGCAAATGATAGGGATAGCAGTCAACTGTATAGTTACTTCAAGCTAGGCATGGTGGTGCATGCCTGTAGTCCCCACACTCTGGATCCTGAGGCAGGATTGCCATGAGTTTGAGGCCAAAGACCCTGTCTATTAAAATAAAATTATTTTCATTACTTGGAAGCCTTAGGTTGGGTTTGTTGAATGATGTGGTTTCAGTTCTTACATCTGTGTGTGTGTGATATATTGGAGATTGAATCCACACAGCCTCTGGCCTGAGCTACATCCCCAGCCCTTTTAAATTTTTTTTTATTTTAAGACCTGGTCTTGCTAAGTTTCCCAGGCTGAGCTCAGCCTTTTGATCTTCCTGTCTCAGCCTCCCAGAATACTAGAATTGCAGACATATACCACCATACCTGGCTTGTTTTTGCTATTTCTAGAGAAAGCAGATAGCATGGAGAATTGTGTAAATCTTGTCTCTGGAAACTTGACATTCTTTTATT